ATAAATAACAAATTTCATTTTGAAATATGTATGTATGTATGTATATATATATAATGGATTAGAAATAGAATCAAAAAAATACAATGAATATTTCTTGTATATTGACATAGATTTGATATTAATAAGCATCTATGAAGGTCATTTGAAACAACCTTAAGGAATACATACAATTAAACCTCATTTTCCATGTAGATAAACGATTAACAGAATTTGTTTTCGTTTCTGCCTTAAACTCTTCTACCATAATTGAGTTATTTGCTTGAAGTTAAAATGGATAGTATTTCCTAACAGTTCTGTAACAAATGTCTGTCTGACTAAGACGTTTTTAACAGTACTTTGTAAGTTGACTATTTTCAATCACATTCAGCGTGGTTAGTCAATCCGACTACACAAGTATCATAGAAGGGTGCTAGGCGCTTCTGTGCAGTGCCTAGACTGAGCATCGGGGCCTTAAATTCCATCACGAGATGTGAAGTTTCGGAGGCGGCAATTCCAGTCACTGTAAGCAGTACTACATTTTAGATGCGAGAAACTCAGTGCCAACATTCCATAGTGAATGACGATGTTCCTGAATCTCACCTATCTGCTCATAAGGCCAAGTTAGACCAGCCTAAGTCACACAAAGTTGCACCGTGGGGCATGCCTGGAGCATGATTAGTTTCCGTCTTGCTTGGCAAATAGAAAACTCAATAAAAAGGCTCTATTTTGTCGATGTGATTCACGGGCGTCTACTCCCTACTTTAATGCAGCACTTCCAGCAAGAAAAAGACAATGTTCTACAACATCACTATTTCTTTGGTCTTGATTACATACATGAAATATTTAACTGGAGCTTCACAAAATTTAAAACCAGAATTTACTGCAGCTTTCGGTTTCCCGACGAGTTGCTCCTCCAGGATATATAAGTGCACCCATCACCAAAAGAGGAGGTGACAAGATGAAACTAATCACCGATAACGCAATCTTTCTTGAACCTGTTAGACTAGTTATCTGCAGGATATATCCTCTCCACCATGCTTTTGTACTTTGCTAGCACGGCCCTGCAACATTACAGTCGTCACATAAGTTTAAAGGACGGAATGTCACGAGGAGCTGGAAACAAACCTATCACATAAAGTATCCAGAAACATACATTCAAACAAATCCAACACGAACCTGCGTTCCTCCAGCTTGTTTCTATGGTCATCCAAAGTTCTTTTCTGCGTTGCAACATCCTGCACAACCAATTTTGAACTTCCATAAGCTAGCACCACTGTGACGGGAAAGTCACGACGGCAAAAGGGCTAAACAGATTTAGTGGGAACATTAGGGGGATTGACTCTCTAAAAACAACCCTGACTATTGGTGTTCAATTTGGCACTTGCACCACAAACTGGTAGCCTGGTACATATCAACGGAATTAACGGGCGCACAACAGCGGTTTACTCTAATTGGCCACCACCAACAGCTTGTGACATTTTTGACTGGATAAAATGCTACTAAAATTTCAAATGTTCTATGACCTGCAATTTGTTACGACTGGACCTCATCAAATACTATGAGGCGGGAACCTGTAACGTATACAGATGTAAAAATGTTCATAACATCGCAACTTGTTTAAAATGAATTTCCTCGTACCAGAAAGAAGCATATTAAAATTTCAGGCACAAGAGAGGGCTTTTGATATACCTTCTCAATTGAATTAGACTCTAAAGAATGCAGAATTTGCTCAGCTTTCTGAAATCGAGCCACAAGTTCACGAATCTGAACAAGGAATGAGCCAGGCATCAATGGCAGCTAAGTGATCACTGCTAGAATAATGTCAAAAAGGCGTTTGATGGAATAAATAATGGATAAAAAATTCCTGAGGAGCAGCTCAGCAATACGAGCTGTTAAATAATTTTCACAACACAAACGAGATAGGAGAGGGAGATGGAGCTATTTACCAATTCATCGTGTTGATCTCGAGATCCTCGCTCGACTGCACCTGCCAGTGCATCGATGACCTTCAAACCACCAAGGAAAAATGATGAGAAAGTGCAAGATAAAAAAAACGCCAAAAAGACTCGTTTAGTTACCCAAGTGTGCAACTCATTCTACATGTGTGCAACTCTGAAGAAAGAATTTTTTTAAGGGGATCTGATTTTATATTAATGCCCAAAACGATTGAGGCTTAAATAACAGACGTTAGAAGCAATACGAGGAAGCATACCGGAACCAGAGAAAAGTGAAACGCCTGCGTCTGGTATGGCTGTTGCTGCCATTCTGACTGAGCTTGACTCTGAGCTTGGGACCACGACATATTATCCGCAAAGATCAACCCCTCGCTCTTCGTTCCTGAAATTAGGCCTAACCCCGTATAAGGCAGCACTAAAAATCAGAACAGATTTACACGAACCCATCTTCAATACTTGCTCAAAACAAACAAGTCCTTCAACCTTGTCGTCCAAACTGTCTTTCAACCCTCAATCCACAATATGTAACGACTATGCAAAGCTTGTGAGGTGCTTCATATCCATTTTCCCTTCACAAATCGAATCTCTACAAGATATAATCACCAAGATGAGCTTCAAACGATAATATGACCGTGGACAGAATTCGATGAGGTGAGTGTAGGGGTATCAGGGTTTTGCGAGGAGTTGGAACCTGTTTAAATAACTTTAGCAAATTGGGGTTGCAGAAAATTGGGCAAAACATATGTTCACCTAACCATGATTAGAACCGAAGCATTCTGATCTCTACACAACCCTTCCACTCATGGTCGACGAGTACGCACCCAACACATCCACACACTAATAAAATCCCCTTATCGATTGACTCACTACGCTATTTCACAAAAGTTTTAGCATTAAACCAAGATGTCTCACGAAACCCAAGAATAACAATCCTCTGCACCAATATAGCAAAAATCTCTCGCACTCGCACAACGCCCTCCACATAGAGCAGGTTGAGAATGCTTACAGCGATAAGACGTGTAGTTTCAATGTCCCTGTGCTACTTCAACAGCAGCAACAACAGCAGCAGCACTGGCGAAGAAGACCCGTGTAGAAAGATGACCGAACAATGCACAACTTTGTTAGAGTAGGAGTGTGGAACACTCAGTACGCAATGGTGATTTCCCTTCAGAACCTGCACTGGAGCCTTCTTCATTAGCATCGTCATCGGAGTACTCCACCGACAAAAGTGATTGCCGTCCACCATTTGAGGAAAGCCAGATTTGTCGGTAGGGTGGGAAGGGTATTTTTCCGTGCATAGCGCGTGTTTCTTTTTCTTTTTCTTTTTAATATTTACTTACGCATTAACAATTTTAATTTCTAGTTTCTTTTTGTAATTTTCTATGTAATTTTTAAAGATTTTTTTTATTATTTTATTTAGCATGATTATCTTTTAATTAGTTTTAATTATATTAAGTTATATTCTTTTGATTAATTTAAGTTTTTAGTATCTGATAATTATTTACGTTATTAGAAAAGGAAAAAAAAATCCTATTGTTTACATCTTTATTTTCTTATTATCATAAACTAAATAAGATTATTAGAAATGATATTTTTATTCTTTGAATTATGTTTACAAGGTCTGAAGAATCAAACTCTTATATAAAGATTAATCCTTATGTATTATGCATTTAAGTTCACAAGTTGATATTACAATTCAACAAATTATTTGACCATACTATACAAACTTCTAAAACCAAATCACTACTTGCAAGAACCAATTTGAAATCTTACCTATTTATATCTACAATTTAATCATGAAGTTAAGAAATAATTTATGTTTTTTTAAAAATATATATATATGTATATATATATATATATATATAAATAAGCTTTATAAAAGACACTCATTAATAATTATTTATATGGATTATCATTTATAATACTCTTAAATAGATAAAAATAAAAATATTATCAAGCTTATTTTTAGTAATAAAATTACATAAGGATATAATATATTCAAGCACCATAAGATTTACAAACTAGCCAAGGTTCTTTAAAAAGCTAATACAATAATTTTGGTTTAAGTAACAACTAGACAAAAAAATTGTGTTATTTAAAATTTTGTATAAAGTCAAATTACTGTAAAATTTTCTACCATTTATATCATAAATAGAATATATGAAAAAAATTAAATAATTACTATGCTAAATTCTTTTTGTACCATTGTTTGGAATTGTAACTATACAAATTTTATTAATTAATTGGTTAAAAATACTTACATAGTAGAAAGGCAACAAAATTGGTTAATAAACACAATTGAAAAAGTACAAGATTATGTAGAAATAATAGTAAAATTCACAATAGAAGAATCAATAGAAAATTTATAATGTTTTTATAAGGTGGAAAAATGTAGTATGATAGCATGTACCACAAATAGTTTCTAAGAAAATATTATTTAATTAAATTAAAATAAAAAATAATTTGATTATATGAAAAAAAACCTTTAATATGCTATAGACTAAGTTAGACAAGAATATAATAACTATGACTATTGAAAAAAATAATAGTTGGATTGGTTAGAATAAAGATAATAGAATCAATGCTAAACATAAAAAATATAAATATTGTTATTTAAAGAGAATTGATTATATAAATAAATAATCTAAGACCAAAAACTTATATTTACAACCAAAGAAACATATTAGCTCAAATATTAGTAAGATTTTATTGGTGTCCAATATATATATATATATATATTAATAATATAGTGAATTTTGAATGTTGATTACAATCTATCAAGTTTATTCTAGACTTGAACTTGTAATATATTTAAAATAAAATTATTATTGTAACAATTTTAGGGATAGAGCTCAAGAACTATTTTACTTGTTTAAATTTTATTTAAAAACTTAACTTTGAATTGTCAAAAGTCACAAAAACTATGGTTTACATTGAGAATAATCTATAAACATTGTGATAAGAAAAATATATTAATATTAATAAAAATAATTATATTTTATAGTAAAATAAAGATATAATACAAAAAATGACTACAACCACCAAAATATCATTATATTTATGTAGAATATAAAAAATTATAATGCTATATTATTATTATTATTATTATTATTATTATACATTGTATTAGAGCCATTGATACACATCTACAAACCTAAACAAGTTTAAGAATTATTCTCTTCTTAATTTTTACTATTTAATTGTTATTCTTTTTTAAAATATTATAATATTTAATTCAATATTTGACAAAAAAATTTGTTTACATGTTATTATGTTATGTGAAAATTAGCTTTGGATTATATAAGATATTTAGCTATAGAAGAATTTGACCTAATTTTGAAGTTAAATTTATAATCCAAAAAAATGCATAAAGTGTCTAAAAACATCTTTTTGGCAATCTTAAACAACCTTAGTAAGCTTTTGATTTTGATAAGTACACCCTATCAATCTTAGAAACATCCTAGAAATATCTTATTATACTAAAATTAATTCTAAATAAATCTTAAAAAATCATTAATAATCCTAATGAAATTCTAAAGACACTTTATTCAACAAACAAATTCTAAAGAAATCTGAATCAACTCTATAAAAATCTTAAAGAAATCCAAAAGAAATCTTTAGAAAATCCTAACTAATTCTATAGAAATATTAAATAAATCTTAATTTAATCTTAATCAAATTACAATCAAATCTAAAATAAATCCTAAAAAAATTAAAATTTAATACTAAAAAAATACTAAATAAATCCAAAATAATTATAATAAAATCCTAAAATATTATAATCAACTCCTAACCAAACATCAAGTAAATCCTAACAAATAATAATCAAATTTTAAGTGAATTCTTTAAAAAATTTAAAATCTTATTAACTAATAATTAATATTTTTTAATATTTATTTAAAAAACTTTACTTTTCAATTTACAAGCTAAAAACATGTACTTAAAATGTATACAAAATAAAATATAAAAATTGGGAAGAAAAGCATATAATTTGCTTAGGTGTTGGCCATTCTTCTTTCCTAACCTTGATATCAATTTTCCAACATCAATAGCTCTCATTTTTTTACTATTAACTTAAACTAAATATTTGCAAAACTATTAAAAACTAAGTAAACTATCAGCTTACAAAAAATCATTTTAATCATATTGGCACATTGCTTACAATCATAGAAATTATTTTTAAATCTCAAAATCTATTTTCAAAAATCCTAACTCAATTAAATTTTAATAGCTTTTGATCTAACCATTTAATTAAGATATATCTCACAAAAAATATTTAGTACACTTATTTTCATAAACTTATATATTTTATATGATTGATTTATTTTAAAAATCACAAAATTTACCAAAATGTAATTCTTTTTTTGTTCTATTAAGAACAAAGTTACATTTAATGCCTGTAACTTTGCAAAGCTCTTACAAAATCATTATCCACTTAAACCTTTCAAATTGAGTGTTTAAAAAATAATTATAAATTCTATTTGTTCATTTTTTTCAAATCAAGAAAAATCCCACATTTTTTGTAGATGTATGGCTTGATGCTTTAGGTCTAGTTTTGATCTTGACTCCCAATTGGTTCTCTTTGCTTATCAATATAAGATATTTTTAGATATTTTTATCTAAAAGCTATTCTTCATTTATACTTAAAGGTGTATTAAATATTATTTTTGTTTATCTATTTTTTTTTATTTTTTATGATTTTACAAAGTAAAAAGAAACTATTTTAATAAAAAGATAGCATTAATACTAAATTATATTTTACTACTTCTATAACTTTTGCTTATGTTTTCTCAAATAATTTCTATTATATTTTTAATTAAGCTTTTTAATAATATAATCTTTATTTATTTATTTTTTACTCAATAGCTTTTTTAAAATAATAAAATACTAGAATAAAGGCTTATTATTTAAGATATAAATTTAATGGATATAACAAAAAAATATAAGGATTATCGAATCTCAAAAAAATTAGAAGATTTAATATTTTATTCTTAGATTTTGAAGTAATTTAATAAATTACTAATTATCTATAATTTTATAAATATTTTTTTGGAAATCATATATAAATTATATTTAAATATTTTCTTAAGAATCTTTATTATTTATTTTACTCATATTCAGAATTAATTTTCAAATTTTAATTTTTTTTTAATAAACTTATGCAATTATATATCAAAGTTTTTCTAATTAAATTCAATATTTATAATTTTAAATTCCAATATATATTTTCTATTTTTTAATTAATATCAAAAATAATCTTAAATTATAAACAAACTTTAAATTTTTAAAAAATCTTACAATATAAAAGAATAATAAATTATAAATTGTAAACAACCTTACATCTCAATTAAATCTTAAAATCTGATAAAATTCTTATCATAGCATATCTTTTGTTTAAAACTAATTATAAAGCCAAAACAATTATAATCTCTAAACAACTTTAAATCCTAAATAATATTAAAATCTAAATATAATCATTATGGTAAATGATTTGATTCATTAATAATTATCCACAAAGTTAGAATTTTGATAAAAAAAACTTAATCAAAATTTATATTCTCAAATTCTTCTTATTTAAATATCAAGAAGTAAAACTTAATTAATTTTTTTCAAAATCTTAAAATTTGGAAGCAAATAACTACAATGCAATAATGCATTGGATATAACCTAATAATAATACTCTTGTGATTTAAAATTTTCTTCAATATAAAGACATAAATCATTGTAGGCTCAACTTTTTGCTTTGATTTCTTTTGTACTAGCTAAATCTACAATTAATTTGTATTGTAATTATTGTTATGCCATTTGAAAGCATTATAAAGATGCTTGAACTAGACAAACATTTCTTAACTTATTACTTGTTGTGCCATCTTTAAGATTCTTGATATATTTATATCTTAACTTGAAAACTCTACATGCATGATTTTTTTCTTGACAATGCACAAAAAGACCAACAACCAATTGTCATTTAAATTCATTCTATATACCTTTTGGTAGCATTTTCAAGTAACTATTCTACTTCTTTTTACATATAAGACTTTTAGAAGTCAATCCTATTTGTTTTATAATTGTAGGGTCTCTATCTTCTCAATATAATTTCAAACTCTACAAACTATATTTTTGATATTTAACTTGTCTATATAGGTTGATATTTCATATAACAAGATTGTATTTGATTATGTTAGAATAATATAAAAAGAAATATATATA